TGAATAAATACATGAGTGAAAAAATTTTAATTCAGTTACACTAGAATCTATTGGTTTATCTCAGAGGTGGAATGAATCTTTTATACATGCATAATTTAGTTATTTGGAAAATATGGTTCACTGGGTTATTCAACGCATCCAAATATCGATACATTTTATTATACAATGCCAGAAGTTTACTTTTGTTAATATTGCTACCAAAGTAGAAAAGATATTAGATGTTGTGAAGCTGTCAAGTTCCTGATGAACCATTTCAATTTTCCAAAATTTTAATCAAGTTTGAATTGTATCATTGGTAACAAATACTATCAGTTCTTCATTTCACGAATTTTTGAGAAAATACTTGTTCAAGTCTGAAGAGCTGTGATTGGTATGTTGATCATTCTAGTAAAGTAAAACAAGTTTTTGTTTTTTTTAAAACTTCTTATCCTTAAAAGAAAGGAGCCTCCCTGGTGGTACAGGGGGTTAAGTCTCAGCACTATGAAGCTATTGGCAGCCACTGCAAAACAAATTCTATCTCCAGCCAAGGAGCTGACTCACATGGCATGGCAGACCTCTCCTGTCTCACCTGCTGCTCTCCTCAGCAGTGTACTTCATGGATCTGCCTGTTCTGCTCCCCACTCTGTCTCTGGGGAACCTCTCACCTCCTCCTCCCACCAATTCCCCCCACACCTCTTGCCTACACCCATGTTCTTGTATGTATAAATAAATAAATCTTTTTTTTTTTTTAAGGAAGAGGCTAATTCAGTTTGCAACTCAATTGTGCAAGTGTTTTCTCTTACTTTTGAACAGAGCAAAATCGCTTTATGTGCACAGGGTAACTTCATTATAGTTATGGAGCTTTATTTTAGAGGTATGGACATGTTTTGGAACTTGATAAAAGTGGTCATTGCACAATCTTGTGAATATCATAACTGCCACTGAATTCTTCACTTTATTTTTAATATTAGGTTTTTTTTTAAGATTTATTTATTTATGCGTACAAGAACTTGGGTACAGGCCAGAAATTCCCGAAGGTGAGAGGATACACCAGAGCCAGAGTAGGGAGCAGAACAGGCAGATTGACTGAAATCCACTGCTGAGGGGAGCAGCTGGTGAGATTAGGAGAGGTCTGCTGTGCCAGGTGTGCCAGCTTCCCGGCCTGGGATCCCGAAGCAGTTTCATCTAGTTTTGTAGCGCTGCACTTTAACCCATTGTACCACCAGGGAGGGCCGCATTCTAACACTCTTAAAAGAAATTCTCATTTTGTGTACTCACAGTGCACAATGGTGAAGGCTGTGATATGGCTATTACTGAAGAATATGACGGCTGCTAGAAGGTGCTATTACCTTATCTCACGACAATATTTCTATAGCCTCTGCTTTTGCACCCTCAGCAACACAGAGACACAGGTAAATCACTTCTTAGTCTTATTATGAAGTCAGTTTTGACCTAGCTGGAAAAAGTCTCTGGCTTGCCAGGGACACACGGATCACACTTTGAGTACCATTGCTGTATGAGGAATTGGAATTGAGCTGACCTACTCTAACCACTAGTTGTGCAACATTGTGCCTAGAAAATCCTTGGAAATTTTGAAACCACACGAATATGGGTCCAATTCTAGTTTCTATCTGACTGTGGGTAAATGGTTCCCTGAAATCTGAGCACTGGGAAGGTAAAATGATGCTAAAGGGTTATGAGAGTTTGTTGATAAATCACCCTAAGTGTTCACAGAAGGGGAAGTGACTTTTTTTTAAAAGATATATTTATTTATTCATACAGAACTGGGGTACAGGCCAGAGATGCGGAGGGTGAGAGGATTCACCAGACACAGAGTGGGGAGCAGAACAAGCAGATCAACGAAGTACACTGCCAGGGGAGCAGCAGGCGGGTCAGGAGGGGTTAGGAGAGGTCTGCCTCTCCAGGAAGTGACTTTTATCACTAGGCAACCGATCTAGTGTTGGGGAGGCTACATTTTAGGGGCTTGAGGGATTACTGCCTTTCAGGGGCCCTGTGTGACCTTGAGAAGCTTCCATCAATCACCTTTCCATCTGTCTTAGCCTACTTCAAAGAATACTTGAGCAGTTGGAAGAATTTTTTCAGCTTTATAAACAGCAGGGGGGAAGGAGGCTGAAAGGGTCTTGAGTGGAGAGGAGGAAGGCAGGCAGAGAGAGGAGCCCCTTCGAATGATAAATAGAGCAGCAATAATCCTTCACTGAGGCTGGATTCGTTTTCTCTCGACTCACCACAAGAACTTTAGGTCTTATCTTCAGCCAAAGCCCATAGAATCCTATGTATTGATTTGACTTTTCGTAGTGTACACAAAGTCTTCCAATTCATTTGCTTAAAGAAACCTTACACACTTCTGTAAGGCGATGAACAAAGTAGAGCTTAGTGCCCCATATGGCAGATGAGAAAATTGAGGACTATAAAAGGGAAGTAAGGAACAAGTACATTGAGGCACCAAAATTCAAATTTATGTCTTTGGACTCAGATCAGCTTTCTTTTCATTGCTTTTTCTTAGGACATTCTTCGTGAAGTGAGTTTTCAAGGTCACACAGCAGTTTTCTACTTTTTATTTAGAGACAATTCACCAAGGTCAGATTTAAGGTGTGAGCACTGGTGGGGATGAGGTGTAGTTTGAAGTTTATTTTATTTTTTAAAAAGATTTATTTATTTATGTGCACAAAAACTGGGGTTTAGGCCAGAGGTGCAGTGTGAGGATTCACCAGAGACAGAGTGGGGCAAAGCACCGGCAGATCGACCAAAACACACTGCTGAGGGGAGCAGCAGGTAGGACAGGAGAGGTCTGCTGTGCCACGTGGGTCAGTTCCCTGGTCAGGGATAGGACCATGTCACAGTGACTACAAATAGCTTCATAGTGTTGTGCTTTAACCCTTTGTACCACCAGGAAGGGCCCTGTAGTTTGAAGTTTAAAATTATGCTTTGAGAATAATTTGTCTTGGTTCAAATCCTGACATTTCCACCTCTTCATGTGACATGGGGGAGAGTAAAACTACCAGCCCTTAGGGTTGTTAAGATTATATTAAATATACACATAAAGTGCTCACATAGTGTGGCACAGCTTAAAGTGGAATTCATGTTGCTGTTATGAAGATGAGGAACATACAGTGATTTCATGGACAAGGATAAATTGCTTTCTATACTAGGTGAGGGTTCAGTTAAAACTTCCTTGTCCCCAGTTAAGTGGCAAATAAAGTAACATTCCATTTAAAAACAGGTCAAAATGAAATGTCAATAGTCTGTTCTCTCTCTCTTCAAGAGGTTCCTGAGGAGGTGTGGAGTTTGCTCCCATTGTCTATCAGCTGAAATTTTGCCCCCAGCTACCTTTTGGGGCACTAACCAGCCTATACCTGGCTGTCCTGGAGTCTGGTGCTAGTTTCCATCTAGTGAAAAACTACCCAAGTATGGCCATGCATTCTTTGGCTTTTTCCAAAGTAGAGGACTGGGTAGCTGAAGTTATACCCACAGGGAAGGAACCAGATGGAAACTTGTTTTATCTGATTAAAAAAAAAACCCTTTTTGTTTGTTTGTTTGAGTACTTTTCTTCTTGCTCATTCCATAAAGCCTATCATCTTATAAAAGAAATAGGAAATCAGACTATAAAAATTAATAAAGGTGCAAAGCTGAGGCATGAGGGAAAAACCACTTTTCTGTTCAGTTCTGAAAGACCAAGAGTAGGTCACCACTAAGCTTCAGATTTAGCCCTGGGTTTTCTGGAAGCCAAGGTAGAAGAGACACAATCAGCAGCTTGATATTAGTTTCCAGAAAGGAAGCACACCTGTTTTGTGTAGTACAGCAAAACCTTTCCTGACTTGAACTCTTGTAATTTTTTGCTTGAAAGTTTATTTCAGGCAACAATGCCATGAAGTCAGCAGTTCAACTAGTGGGTGAGATCATAGTTTTTGTTGTCTGTTTGGTTTGAATTTTGCCTTGTGCACCTTATTCTGGTTTGCAGTTTCTTCAGTGTCAGAGAGAAGAACAATTAAAACTGAAGATTCAGTTAGATGAATTGTATAAATAAGTATTAACTGTTACTTAATGAAGAACTGTGAGTGCCAACTACTTGTCAAGGACAGTTCTAGGTGCTGGCGATAAAATCACAGCAGAACAAGATGCTTATCTTCAAGTAGCTTTTACATTGGGGTGGGATAGACAAACATGGAGTATGGGTAAATAATTGCAGAAAGTTCTGTGAAAGAAACAATACAAGTGCAATAGTGAATTTCATTTGACTAGCTCTCTCAGCTATTTTCCAGAAAAGTCAAGGGTATAGTTTTGAAATCCAACTCTGAAGAGGTAAGTAAATCTGTTAGGACCTAAGGTAATTCGGTCCTGACATAGAGAATTCTTCTGCAGGCTATTGTGGATAGGTTATTTTCGATTCGTTTTAAGCAGTTTGAAATTATATTCTTTTTTAAATTTTATAACAGTTTATTTTTACATCATTTTGTACATTTTTTTCCATCTCACTTGTAATCCCCGCGGGTTTCCCATCACCAAGTCACCCATGTGCCTGAAATTATATTCTTAATAGACCCTTGAGAATACTGTATTTATTCGAGTGATGTTAGTCTTAGCCTCACCACCACTTTGGGTGTGAAAGATACTACTACTTTATTTTAATGTTAAGTAAAGTGAGGTGTTGGCTTGCTCAGAGCTATAGATTTAGGAAAGGATGAGTCTATAAAATCTGTAGTACACCTTTGGTTTTCTTTCTGCATTTTCCACCTGTTCCTTCCTTTCCTCAGCTGTGCTTCTCAGCCAGCAGCCTCTCCCCCTTGCCCAGGACAGGACGCTGGAACTAAGCCCCGCCCATCAAGGGCGTGATCCAAACAACCCCGCCCCCTCCCGCCCGCGATAACCCGCCCCCTTTCCCCCCACCGCGGGCTGAAGGCCCGAGCGTACGCGCGCGCCCCCGTTCGAGGCCCGGCTCGGCGTCGGGTGCGCGCTCTGTGTGGCCGCTGCCGCCATGTTGTTGTGGTTGTGAGAAGGCGGCGGCGGCGGAGGAGCAACCCGACAAGACGCTGCAGCGGCCCAGGCGCTGCCCCCCGCCGGCCCTGGCTGGGAGCCTCGTGGGGTGGCGGAGGACGCCGTGCCGTGGCGGGCCTCGCCATGTCCTGCCGCCCGGTAAGAAAATCCCCCTATATCTGCCCCCCCCCTGTCTCCTCCAGGGATGAGGAGGAGCTGGAGGAGGGGCCGGCCTCGGCCTTGGCGCGGCTGCTGTCACGGTCTGAGGAGGCGGCGGCCGGCGGGGGCCTGGGGACGGTGTGCGTGCCCCTGGCAAGGGTTGTCCTAGGCGGGGCCCTGCCGGCGAAGAGAGGTGCGGGGAGTGGGAGCGCAGGGGCCGGGCTTGGCTCGGACCCTGGTCGTGGTGGAGGCGGGGGCCGGGGCAACCTTCCCGGACCTAGCTGGGACAGCTGAAGGGGCGAGGGGTGTGAGGCGATACCGCTGGCGCGTCCGGGGATATGCTCGCTGGCCCCGGGGAGTGAGTGTGCGCCCCTCGCCCTGACCGGGTCCATGGCGAGAGGCCGGGGGCCGGCGGCGGCGGAGCCCCCTGGGCGAGAAGTGCGGGCCCGGGACTTGTGGGAAGGAGGAGTGGCCGTCTGACCGCGGCAGTGCATCCTTCAGACTTGGTAGTACGGGTGGTGGGGTGGGGTAAAGTGGGGTGGGGCTGGGGAGGGGGCTGGTTCCGAGAGAACTCGGGGAGCGCTGGTTCAACAGCTTCCGCGAAGAGTACATTGTTGTTCCCCCAGGTGGACATTGTGCTGCTGCATAAATCGCATTCCGGCACCCCTAAGATAGTTCTGTTGTTTTGTACCTTGGGATTGGAAAATTTAGCTCAAGATTATGGGGTAGATTTTATGGCCACGTTAATAAACTCCTCTGGGGGGCTGATACTGATGGCCAGCTGTCTGCAAGGCCTAAATTCTAATAAAAGTGGGCATACTCTTCTGGTTGAGGTCCCACTTAGTTTCTCATCGGGTGGACGGTGATGGTATGAGAAGCCCGGATAGGATTACACGAGATAATTTTTTCATGTAAAATGCAGTTTTAGTAGGGCAAGCGTTATGGTTGCTGGTGTTTCTGCTCAGAGGCAAGTCAGGTGTGTTGGAGGCATGAGGAGCCGTCTTTTCCTCCTGTGGTCAGTGACTTGGGTGGGTAGTTGAGATTACAGAGTGAAACTGTTTTGAAGAAGACCAGTACAGTTTGATATTAAACTAAGCTGAGAGTGTTCTAGAATTTTACACTGGCTGCCTATGAAGGCCTCTTTCAGCTCTAATTACTTCTCTCTTTTTCAGTTGACCCAGAGCAGTTGAAGTGACTAGCACAGTGGGGCAGCCCCGCTTGCAGTTAATGGGAAGCCATAGGAGACTGTGCGTTCTCAGCTTGTAGGCCAGGTTCATTAGTTCGGTGGTCACCTAGTTAAAGACTGGCCATCTGAAACATAATGGACTGCCTGAAATGTTGATTCTTGGGCCTCAAGCAGGACCTGGTGAATTAGAATCTGAGGGTGGGGCCTGGGAATACAAAGCTCCCTGAATGATTCTGGTCAGCCAGGTTTGTGAACTGCTTTAGGTCACCTTTGGTATTCCAGAAGATCCTCATTAATTACAACTTCTGAGAGTACTTTAAATTCTTTATAGATACTAAAGAATTTGAAGGGTAGGGAAGGGGAAAACTGAGAAATTTACAACTGAAAATTGAGCATCTTTTAAAATGTAGTGTATTTATGTAAGGAAAATAAGATTTGTTACTGAAAGTTACTTGTGCAAGTCTTCAAGAACATAGTTGATAAAATTGGATGCTGCTTGACTGGAGGTATATATCTGGAAATATAGGAAAGAAATCAAAAGAAAGGAGCAGAGAAGGAGACCAGTGTTTCTGTTTGACAGGGGTCCACTGAAAGTGCTTTTCAGCATACCAGTGTCATGGTTGCTTCGAAACCATCTGACTCAGGTTTTCTAGTAAGTAGAGGATAGAGTGGGTATGTGAGTCTAGGGTTGTGAACCAGGAAGGTTAGCTGTAGATTATGAAAAGGTCTTGAAATTTGCCTCAGGTCATGAGGAGTGGTAAAATCTGTTTTAAAATCTGCTGTAGTTCTGGTTAACACCTTCTGTAATAAAATGGAATGCTGTATTACCAAAGGAAGTATTTTTACTGCAGAGTGGGTGTGGTGAGATTTGTTATAAGTTTGGAAGAGATGGAAAAAAATGTTGTTATAATTATGTAGAATAAAGGAGTTTGGTAGATATCCTGCCAAATCATGAACATTATTTTTAAACAAGTGTATCCAGTTGTCAGTGGCAAGAGTCAGAGTTCTTATCTGTTCCGTTCTTTGATGTCTGCAGTACCTAGCTAGCATAGTTTTCTGTATATACTCTTCCCTCAGATATTTGTTGAGTAAGTGAATAGTATTGGGATGGGAAAAAGAGCATCTGTGGATCAATGAGCCTATTTTTAATAATGTGATTTGGAACTTTGAGCTGCCTTCAAGAGATTCTGTTTTCTAAAAACCTGTCATGTACACTTGACTAGTGTTCCCTAGGTCTTGGGTCTTAAATGTTATCTTTATTATTTTAGGTATGTGTGATTTTTTTTTTTTTGTGCACATTTTGTTAAATGTAGCAGCATTTAGAACAGTGGGAAGCTGTAGATTGGCAGTTTTTGTGTCATTAAGTGACTATATAGTCTATAGACTGCTGTTAGGAATGTCACATCAATTTCTTTGCCTCAGTGTCCTCATCTATACAATTAGAGATGTATAGGCGTTGATCTCTGGCTGGTTCTCCAGCCAGATGCTGCAAATTTTAAATAATTATAATTATTTTGTTTGACATTCAGTTTACACATGTCATTGAACCTTTTTTGAGGAAGACTATCAACATTCTTTTTTGGATTTTAGACAGTGTTCAAATGTGTTCTGGAAATTGAGTGCATGTTGCAAGTATGAAGCAGATGCAACATGCTTATGCTGTTGTAATGCTCTTAGTGTTGAAATCAAAATGGATTTCACATGGAGAACTTAATAATGTAGTGTGAAGCCACAAGATTAAGAATGATTTGGGGGAAGGTTGTGCTATTTATGTGATAAGTTGACTCTCACAGACCACCCAATATTGCAATTATGAGTAAAATGTTGATTTAAGAGAAAGTATGAGATCAAATTCATATTGAGATAAGATTATCAAATAACTTTATAGAGACTACAAATTTGTTAACATTTACTGATATATGTGTGATAATATGGATACCGTACTTTTTTCAAAACCAAATTTTATTGATTTGCCATTCCTATACATAGCTATATAATTTGTGACTACAGCTTTATACCTCAACATGTGCACAAGCCTCATGCATCCTTTACCAAAGCGCCAGTGTCAATACATGATTATGTTCGCCCCTCACCCTAACCACTTTCACAGAGTCTAGGAATTATTTTGTGTTTTATCAGTTTGTTTTTGTGGTTATTTATATTACATAAATAAGTGAAACCATCAGTTAATTGTCTTTCAAGATCTATCTGTTTTGTCCCAAAAGACATTATTTCATCTTTTTAAAAAGCTGAGTAGTAGTCCACTGTGTATATATGCACCATATTTTCTTTGTTTCATTACAATATTGTAACTGTTGTGAGTATGACTACTATAAGTGTAGAGAGGTACATACATTTTTTTTGTATTAGTATTTTTATATTCTTTGGGTAAATTAGTATGCTTTCATCCACTTTTGTGATCATGGTTTCCTCACTGCCAGGTTAAGTAGCTTTCATCTTCATTTGTACCTAGAAACTTAACATACCTTTTAATTCATACCATATTTGTGTCAGATGTTCAAAATGAAAATTGTAGCAAGAGAAGTTTGTACTGTAGACTAGTAAGACCTAGGTTCAAGTGTGGGTTATGCTGCTCACTAGCTGTGGTATTTCTGACAAGTCATAAAACCTGAGTTTCAGTTTTCTCATTAAAAAGAAGACAAGCAACTTTAGATCACAGCCTTAATCTAAAAATGCAAGGGAATGATCCTAGACTTCTATTGTATTTTCCTTTTTTTAAAGATTTAATAATGAATACGAGAGTTGGGGTGTAGGTCAGAGGTGTGTGTGTGTGTGTGTGTGTGTGTGTGTGTGTTGGGGGTGGGGGTGGGGTGGGAGAGGGGTTTGTGTGTGAGAGGATTCACCAGAGATAGAGTGGAGAGCAGAACAGGTGGATCCACTGAAATACAGTGTTGAGGAGCGCAGAGGGCAAAACAGGAGAGGTCTGCTGTGCCATGTTGTTCAGCTCCCTGGTCAGGATCAAAGTCATGCAGCAGTGGCTGGTGGTAGCTTGATCGTGCTGAGATTTTAACCACTGCACCAATAGGAGGGCCCTAGAATCCTGTTGTATTTTCTTGGAAAAGTTGGCTTGTAGAACACTGGTAAGTGTTGTCAAATGCAGAATTTACCTGTATCACTGATACAGTCAGTAATCAAAAAAATTTCTGCTTCTGTTTCTGATTAGAGAAACCTTTCAGTGCTTGTATCAGCATCTGTGTGCATTTGACAATAGGAGTAGTGTTGCAGGAACTTCAGGAAGGATCTAGGATATGTCACATTTGTGTCAGATTTGCCCTTGGAATAGACTTGCTAAATTTCACCCATTTTGTTATGTTGAAGTAGTGCTGGCAGTTGGTAGTGTCAATGAGTCTTAGGGCTGTCTTCTCAAAGGCAAGTGGAAAGAAAGGCAAGTGATAGTATCACATGGTAATGAAATCAGTGTGATTTTAAAAAGCATTACAAAAAGACAGAAAATGTCAACATGTTGCAAATGGTAAAATTAAATATTGATCTGAAAAATAGTTGTTTTAAAAAGTAAGTTTTGTGTACTGAGTTGCAGTGTAAAATGTACTTTTTTCTTAAGTTGTGTGGTCCATGGCATGTAGGCTTTGTGGTTTAGATGACTGTCTTTAAGAGAAAATCATAAAATAAATTAAAAAATATGGTTAAATTGTGAAGCTGGGTTAAATTAGCTATTCTGTTAAGGGTGAGATACTTTATAGCTCTATTACAAATTGTTGACTTATATACATTCTAAAAAAAAAATAGATAAACCAAATCTGTAATTGTATTTAGACTTATTCCACAAACCTCA